CGTCCCCTGCCCCCCTCTGACCCCCCTGTCCCGCTGTCCCCCCGTGACGCTGTCCCCGTGTCCCCGTGTCCCCAGGTGATCAAGCAGCTGATGAAGAAGGAGTTCACGCTGGAGTTCTCGCGCGACCGCAAGTCCATGTCCGTCTACTGCTCCCCCGCCAAGGCCTCGCGCGCCGCCGTGGGCAACAAGATGTTCGTCAAGGTGGGGACCGCCACCGTGTCACTGTGTCCCATCGCCGTGTCCCCACGTCCCATCGCCACGTCCCATCACTCTGTCCCTACGTCCCATCACCATGTCACCATGTCCCATCACCGTGTCCCCATGTCCCACCACCATGACCCATCACCATGTCCCCACGTCCCATCCCCGTGTCCCATCACTGTGTCCCCATGTCCCACGACCACAACTCACCACCACAACCCATCACCACGTCCCCATGTCCCCGTGACCCATCACCCTCCCAGTTCCCCATCACTGTGTCCCCATGTCCCACCACCACGACCCACCACCATGTCCCTATGTCCCCGTGTCCCACCACAATGTCCCCATGTCCCATTTCCATGTCACCATGTCCCATCACGTGTGTCCCACCACCATGTCCCCACGTCCCACCATCACGTCCCACCACCACGTCCCCATGTCCCATCACCGTGTCCCACCACCATGTCCCCACATCCCACCACCACGTCCCACCACCACGTCCCCATGTCCCCGTGACCCATCACAACGTCCCAGTGTCCCATCACCGTGTCCCCATGTTCCACCACCATGTCCCCACGTCCCATCACCACGTCCCACCACCATGTCCCACCACCACGTCCCACCACCATGTCCCCATGTCCCATCACCATGTCCTATGTCCCCGTGTCCCACCACCTTGTCCCCGTGTCCCATCACAATGTCCCCGTGTCCCACCACAGTGTCCCCGTGTCCCACCACCACGTCCCCATGTCCCACCACCGTGTCCCATCACCACGTCCCACCACTGTGTCCCCATGTCCCATGACCGTGTCCCCATGTCCCCGTGTCCCCATGTCCCACCACCCCATGTCCCCCGCAGGGTGCCCCCGAGGGCGTCATCGACCGCTGTAACTAAGTGCGGGTGGGGTCCCACCACCGTGTCCCCATGTCCCATGACCATGTCCCCATGTCCCCGTGACCCATCACCTTGTCCCCGTGTCCCATCACAATGTCCCCATGTCCCACCACCACGTCCCCATGTCCCACCACCGTGTCCCACCACTACGTCCCACCACTGTGTCCTCATGTCCCATTACCGTGTCCCCATGTCCCATGACCATGTCCCCATGTCCCCTGTCCCACCACAATGTCCCCGTGTCCCATTTCCATGTCCCCATGTCCCACCACCGTGTCCCATCACCACGTCCCACCACCGTGTCCCCATGTCCCATGACGATGTCCCCATGTCCCCATGTCCCATCACAATGTCCCTGTGTCCCACCACAATGTCCCCGTGTCCCATTTCCATGTCCCAGTGTCCCATCACTGTGTCCCACCACCACGTCCCCATGTCCCACCACCGTGTCCCATCACCACGTCCCACCACTGTGTCCTCATGTCCCATTACCGTGTCCCCATGTCCCATGACCATGTCCTATGTCCCCATGTCCCACCACCTTGTCCCCATGTCCCATCACAATGTCCCCATGTCCCACCACAATGTCCCCGTGTCCCACCACCACGTCCCCATGTCCCACCACCGTGTCCCATCACCACGTCCCACCACTGTGTCCTCATGTCCCATTACCGTGTCCCCATGTCCCATGACCATGTCCTATGTCCCCATGTCCCACCACCTTGTCCCCATGTCCCATCACAATGTCCCTGTGTCCCACCACAATGTCCCCGTGTCCCATTTCCATGTCCCAGTGTCCCATCACTGTGTCCCACCACCACGTCCCCATGTCCCACCACCGTGTCCCATCACCACGTCCCACCACTGTGTCCTCATGTCCCATTACCGTGTCCCCGTGTCCCCATATCCCATGACCATGTCCCCATGTCCCTATGTCCCATCGCAATGTCCCCGTGTCCCACCACAATGTCCCCATGTCCCACCACAATGTCCCCGTGTCCCATTTCCATGTCCCCATGTCCCATCACCGTGTCCCACCACCACGTCCCCATGTCCCACCACCGTGTCCCATCACCATGTCCCCATGTCCCATGACCATGTCCCCATGTCCCACCACCCCGTGTCCCCATGTCCCCCGCAGGGTGCCCCCGAGGGCGTCATCGACCGCTGTAACTACGTGCGGGTGGGTACCACGCGCGTGCCCCTCACCCCGGCCGTCAAGGAGAAGATCTTGGCCGTCATCAAGGAGTGGGGGACGGGGCGGGACACCCTGCGCTGCCTGGCGCTGGCCACGCGCGACACCCCCCCCAAGAAGGAGGACATGCTCCTCGAGGACTCCACCAAGTTCGCCGAGTATGAGGTGATTTGAGGGGGGTCCTGGGGGGTCCTACGCACCCGGAGAAACGTTTTTTGGGGTCTCCGGTCCCATATCGACCACATAACGCCTCTTCTATAGGGTCCGTGGTCTTTAGGGGGGTCTGGTGGCCCGTTCCTGGGGTTCCTGGTCACCTATGGCCACCTAACCCCCTCCCAATGGGGTCCTTGGGGTCGTGTGGACCCAGAGAAACGTTTTTTGGGGTCTCTGGTCCCACATAGACCACATAACGCCCCTTCTATAGGGTCCATGGTCTTTAGGGGGATCTGATGTCCCCTTTTTGGGGTTCCTGGTCACCTAACATCCTTCTGATGGGGTTCCTGGGGTCATACAGACCTGGAGAAATGTTTTTTGGGGTCTCTGGCCCCATATCGACCACATAACGCCCCTTCTATAGGGTCCGTGGTCTTTAGGGGGGTCTGATGTCCCCTTTTTGGGGTTCCTGGTCACCTAACATCCTTCTGATGGGGTTCCTGGGGTCATACGGACCTGGAGAAACGTTTTTTGAGGTCTCTGGTCCCATATAGACCACATAACGCCCCTTCTATAGGGTCCGTGGTCTTTAGGGGGGTCTGATGTCCCCTTTTTGGGGTTCCTGGTCACCTATGGCCACCTAACGCCCTCCCAGTGGGGTCCTTGGTCCTACAGGGATCTCCAACATCCAATTTTTGGGGTCCCTGGTGCCATATCGATCACGTAACACACTCTATAGGGTCCATGGTCCCACGGGGGTCCCTGAAGTCCTATTTTTGGGGTCCTTGGTCTTCTGTTGGCCATGTAACGCCCTCTATAGGGTCCATGGCCCCATAGGGGTCCCTGCTGTCCCCATTTTTGGGGGTCCCTGACCCCATACAGACCATGTAACACCTTCTATAGGGTCTGTGGTCCTATAGGGGGGTCTGGTGGCCCATTCTTGGGGTCCTTGGTGTTCTCTTGGCCATGTAACGCCCTCTATAGGGTTCTTGGTCCTACAGGGAACTCCAGCATCCCATTTTTGGGGTCCCTGGTCCCATATCGACCACGTAATGCCCTCTATAGGGTCTGTGGTCCCATGGGGGGGTCTGGTGGCCCATTTTTGGGGTCCTTGGTCTTCTGTTGGCCATGTAATGCCCTCTATAGGGTTCTTGGTCCTACAGGGATCTCCAGCATCCAATTTTTGGGGTCCCTGGTCCCATATCGAC